CAGCACCAGCATCCCGAGTAGAGGTACCAGCATCTCCAGCATCGGCACCAGCATCCCCAGCATCGGCACCAGCATCCTCAGCAGTGGTATCAGCATCATCACTTCCATCATTAGCAGCAGTAGTATCAGTCTACACTTTAGCAGAAGGCAGTGAAACTTGATCTGGGCACATTCTCAAAGCAGGTGTTTCCAACACAGCCAAATGAGGCTGCACATAGAATTTTGTGTTCTGATAAATTGCCATGGTAATCACACTGTTCTTCTTCACTTGACAGCTTATTATCTAACAGTCAAAGTAATTGGGGAAATGTTTCTTTGTTACATGGTTCTAACTGTGGGAATATCAGGCAAAGGGCTGGAGGGAGACAGGCATCATGCTTCAAGGCTTGGAAGAAGAGGAGGCAAAGAGAGAAGTAGAGATGGAGAGGGAGAAGGAAAAAGAGAGGGGAGTCCGAGGGGAGGAGGGCAGGCACAAGGAAGAAAGAGAGGAAGCAGGACAGAGAAGAAAGGAAGAGAACGTGGAAGGTGGAATCATGGCCGATAACAGGAAAAGATCAGAGGATATAGAAAGGCAGAGCCTCGGGGTCTCTGGGGCCATCAGTCCCAAATGAGGCTTCTCAGGGAAGAAGAAGCTGAGCCAGAGTCTAATCAGGGCCCGTGGTTCTCAGGTTCTACGTAGAACATCTGTGGCTCTCCTCAGGGAGTGAAGGTTGCTGGCTGTTTTCCCTTTGAGCCTCAGAGGCCCCTATTGGGGGCAGCTGCTCTTCAGACACTGTCCTCTGGATCTGTGGTTGTCCAGGGGTCCAGGTCACCTGCTGGAGGGGCAAGAGTCCTAGTGTGACTTCTGATGTGCTTCAATTTCAAAGCACATCCTTGATTTTTCCTGGAGGATTAAGGTATGGCCATCGGGACAGCCCAGAGCAACACACTGTTCTGGACCTTCCAGTGCTTCCATTGTGTCCACTGCAGATGGCCAAGAAAGGGGCCAGTAAGCCATCACTGGGTTGTCATTGAGGACTTCAAAAACTTCTTATATTTTTTAGATTCATTTATTGTGTGTATGAGCTTTGTGTGCATGTGTGTATGTGCATTACACGGATGCCTGGTGTTGGAGGAGGTCAGGAGCAGGTCTTCAAACTCCTAGGACTGGAGCTACAGACAGCTGTGAGCTCCTGGGTGCTGGGAATCCAACTGCAGGGCCTCTGCAAGAGCAAGGTAAGTGTCCTTACCTGCTGACCTAACTCTTCAGCCCCAGGGACTTGTTATAAGTACCTTTGCTCTCATTCAGCTGCTGGGTCCATCTGAAGCTCTGCCAACTTCTCTCTGGATCTCAGGTACCGGAGGTCAGGTGACCCTGAGGCTGCAGCTCATTAGTCCCAGCCTGATTGCAAGCCCTTCCTTTGGATCTGCTGGACCAAGAAGAGATTTGTGGACACTGTCTCAGCTTGGCTCATGAGCACCAACCAAGGCGATGATGGAGGGCTGGGGGAGACAGATAATGGGACACTGTCTTATAGTCAGGCTTGCCCTACAAGTGAGTGAAGGAAGTCCATTTGCTCAGAATAGACAGAGCAAAGCTTTTGACAGGGAAACAGCAACCCGACGACACTGAAATTCTGGGTTGAGCTCTCTTTGAACCAGATGAACCAGAAAGCTTTGGTTGGATAGGCGGTCCCCAAAGTCTTTCAGGCTTTGGCTTCCCTGTTGCAGCATTTAGAAATGTAGTTCTGGGCAGTGAATGCATCCTAGATGCTCTGGGTTTATAGATGGATTCATATACAGCTTGACAGGCTACTGGGAGGATGGACACTCAGGGAGAGGGAATGTGGTTGGAGGAGGCTGGACCCTGGAGGTGTGACCTCAACGGGGGTATTCTGCTCTTGCTGCCTCTGCTAGCAATCTACCAGGAGGTACACGGCTTTGCTCTGCCACACACTCCCCACAACAATGCTCTGCCTTGTCACACACCCAGAAACAATGGAGCCAATATGAACTTGTGAGCAAAAGAAGTCCTTCCTCCTGGGGCTGATTCTCTCTCTGTAACAGACAGGGCTTAGTGGTTGAGAGTGTTGTTTGCTCTTCTAGAGGCTTCAGGCTCTATACCTAGCACACATATGGTGGCTCATGATCTTTCGTGGCTCCAGTTTCAGGGGACCTAATGTCCACTTTTGGCCTCTGCAGCATCCATGAGGTATACAGACATTTATACAGGCAATACCTATGATACAGGAAATACATTAAACTTTCTACATTAAAAAAATCTCACATACACACACACAAGACAGTGTCTCTCTACATAGGCCTGACTGTCCTAGAACTCATTATGTAGAGCGAGTTGGTCTTAAATTCACACAGCTCCGCTTGCTTCTTGTCCGCTTGCTTCTGCCTCTCAAATGCTGGGATCAAAGATATGTTATTTAATATGTATGCAGCATTCTGCCTACATGTGTTACTGCATGCCAGCAGAGGGCACCAGATCTCACTATAGATGGTTGTGAGCCACCTTATAGTTGCTGGGAATTGAACTCAGGACCTTTGGGAGAACAGTCAGTGCTCTTAACTGCTGAGCCATCTCTCCAGCCCCCTAAAGATGCAGCTTAGATGGTAAGGTGTTGTTTTTAGCAAAATCTCAGTTGTTTAATTTTACCAATAAAGACTCAGGAGCCAGGTCCTGGGGGAAAGCCTGCTACCTCAGAGAGGCAGAGAACACACCCAGGCGACCTTCCTCCTCAGCCAATGTCTCAAGAAGAAATTGAAGCCTTCTCCATGTGACCCAAAATCCCTCAAAACTGAATGCTCCTCCCTTCTACTTCCTGTGCATCTCCCTATCTGCCCTCCTCACTTCCTTTTACTCTCTCTGGGTTTTTTTCTATGTTCATTTCCTATCAACTGGTTGTTTGTTACGCCTTTTGACCTAGGGTTAACTAACTTTATTTAATCCTGTTTATAATGCTCAAGCAGAAAGCTCTTGGATTAAAGGTGTGTGCTAGGGCTGAGCCACACCACAACTAGAAACAGGTTTTTTTTCAGTAAACAATACAACCTCAGGGTTCACAGTGTGATGAAATATCCTGCAACACTTGCCTAGTATTTGTGAGGACGTAGAATCAATTCTTAGCAACACATGAACCAGGCACGGTGCACACCTACAATCCTAGCACTTAGGGGACAGGAGGCTTGCCCACCAGTTAAGGCCAGCCTTGTCTACACAGTGAGTTCCAAGCCAGACCAGGAACCATTTGAAAAAAATCAAACCAATCCCTCCAAAAAATAAAAATAATATTTTTTTGTTGTTAATACTTTGAGACAGGGTTTTACTAGGTATGCCAGGCAGGGTTCAAGTCCATGGGCCTCTTCCTCCTAAGTGCCAAGAGTAATACATCTCAAGGATGGAAAATGGACACTAGTAAGAATAGAAATAATAATTCCGATTTTTGTTTATATAAATTTTGATACTAAGCCTTAAATTCAAGTATTTAATTTGGGAGTGCATGTATATTTGTTGCATTCTGTAACCTTTAGTCACTTTTGCCAGCAGGCTGTGGTCCTTTTCGTGTGATAGTCTGATACAGAGGCAGATAGGACTTTTTCTCCCTTGAATCTTCACATGGGAACTTACTCGACATTAGAATAATATGGAGAACACATGTCTTGATTTTTAAGAGGCCCAGTCTGGCCCACTAGCCATGACCAAGGCAGCCAAATCCCTCTGAACCATTCTATGGCACCTAGCACCCTCAGAGTGCTCTCAGGGTCTGTCCAGCTCGCCTTTATGCTGCCATCAAAAGAATTTATGTTGGATGCTTTAAACCCCTTTGTTGTCATTATTTCACTCTGTTTTCTCTCAGTGATGAAACTCAAGGCTTTGCACACACCAAGCAAGTGCTCTTCCATGATCCTACATCGTGGTGTTTTTTTTTTTTTTTTTTTTTTTTTTTTTTATTTTTCTCCCTCTTCCTCCTCCTCCTTCACACAGGGCCCCAGTATGTAACCCAGGCTGGCTTGGATCTCGCTGTCTTCCCCCAGACATGGAGATCTGGGTTATAGGCACGCACCACATACAGTCCAGTCCACTAAAGTTTGCAACCAGGAAGCAAAAGCTGCGACACTCGAAGCCTAGTCCTGATTTCTCAGGTCACAGTATGTCACCCTTCCTTCCACACTATCAAAATGTATTTACCTGGCTTTTGAGACAAGGTCTTAGGCAGTCTCTCAAGGGCCAGGGTTACAGTGTGCCGCCATGCCTGCTGATTAAATATAAGCTTCTTTTGGCTGCTAACACCATGGATCAACCCAACCAGCTTCAATAAGAGGGGAATGCTAGGAGGAGGTTCCCGAAGCTTGCTGAGGGGTGGAGGGAGGAGTCTGGCCTCTGTGGGAATCTCAGCAGAGGCTTCCATCACTCCTGTCTCCTCCCACAAAACGGCTCTGGCCAATCCCACAACAATGACACCCAGCTCATGTTCCTGCCCTTTGAACCACGCCGCAGCCTTGGTGTCTTATGTCCACGGTTTATAAGCTAAGAAAGGGTCCGGGCAGGAATAGTCACATCGGAATAGCTCATCTGAACTGCAGGGGCAGAGTAACCTGCTTACTACCATGGTAACACATCCTGGCTTGGGACTATCTATATACGCTGGCAACGTTATCTTTCTTGAACGCCTTTCTTGTCAAATCTTCCTGCAGCTGCCGCACCAAAGCTCTTTTTTACAAAAGCAGTTTGCAGAGCAGGATTGCAACAGTAACAACCCGGTAACAAGCCAAACATTTGCCCCAGCTCCTTGAGCAGGCCTAGGGTTCTCATTAGTTATATTGACGAAAGTTGGCCTGTAGGTAAGACCGGGCAAGGGCAGGCGAGGCAGCTCACACCTGTCTTTCCAGCACTTGGGAGGTTGAAGCGGGAGGATCGGGAGTTCAAGATAAGCTTGGGCTCTGGAATGAGTTCTAGGCTACATGAGATTTGTCTCAAAAGGGGGACGGGGGAGGGGAGAGGCGGGGAGGAAAATGTATTAAAATAAGGAAAAACAAGCCGTCAAGGCCTGAGTGCCCGGGCGTTGTGAGCAGGGAGGAAGGACACATGCTTTGGGCCTGGCCCCGGCGCTGGTTGCTCACAGGCGCGGGCTGCACCCAGAGCTGAAGCCTGCTCCCGAGGGCGCCAGGAGGGAGTGGGCGAGCGAGCTGGGGGTTTGCAGCAGCTCCCCAGGCGCGGGCGCGGGAGCGGGCGGGGGCCCGGCTGGCGCGCGGGGAGGTGCAGGCTCCGGGCTGGGGCGGCGCCTTCGCCTCCGGCTGCCGTAGGACCGCGGGGCCGCCGCTTGGTCGGCGACATCTTGGTGGAGGACGCGCGGCGGGGAAAAGGCCGCTCGCGCCGTAGCCGCGGCGCCGCGATCTCCGCGGACCTCCGGACGCACGGGAGGTAAGGCCGCTGCTCCCGGGGGGGCACTCCCCGCGCAGGGGGGGCCCGCGGGCCCGGATCCCCCCGCCCCGCCCCCGCCCCCGCCGCTGGAGCCGACCCCGGGTCCCCGCCCGCGTCCCTCCCGGAACCCCGCCCCCGCCGGCCCCGAGCCACTGCGCCCTCCCGGCCCGGACTCCGCCCCTCGGCCCGGAACACCCCGTCACAGACCCGCCCCCTCTCCGCCCCTCCTCGCCCCAGCGTCCGCCCGCCGGTCCGGGCGGGGCTCCGGGTTTGAACGGCGCGGCGGGCCGCGCCTGGGAGTCGGGGCCCGTAGGCGGCGGCGGCGGCGGCGGCACCATGTCCCCGGGCAGCGGGGTGCAGAGCGAGTACATGAAGCGCTACCGGGAGCCGCGCTGGGACGAATACGCGCCGTGCTACCGGGAGCTGCTGCGCTACCGCCTGGGCCGCCGGCTGCTGGAGCAGGCGCACGCGCCCTGGCTGTGGGACGCCTGGGGCCCGGACGGCGCCTCGGACGCCGAGCCCTCGCCCAGCCCGGCGCCCAGGGCCGCGTCCGCGGCGGACGGGCGGCCGGCGGGGGAGCGCGGCGCGGAGCTGCGGGACGCCGAGGAACCGAGCGCGGCGCGGCCAGGTACGGGCACCGCGGCGAGGCCAGGTATCGGCGCCGCTCGGCCGGGCCGCGCGCTTCGCCCTCCCCGGCGGGCGCTTCCTGTTTGGGTTCGGTTTGCTTTGACCGGGGTTGGCAGGATCCGCTCGCTGAGCGAACCGCGGGAGGGGGCCGGGGGAGCCGCGATTCCGCCCTCCCGCCCCGGGCTCCCCTCGTTTGCCGGCCCTTGGCGGAGCCTCTCTGACCTCCAAGCGCCTCTTCCCCGGCTCGGGGGTCCCTGGTCGCTCGGGAGCCCTGGGTCCACCCGAAGGGGCATCTGTCTGTCCGCGCGTCCCTCTCGGAGAGAGGAGCCTTTCACCCAGGGATGGCCCAGGAAGCTGGGGACCCCCGGGCTGTCACGGGGGGGGGATCACGGTTGTCTGTGTCAGCGCCCTGGCCTGGCCGCGCTGGTGCTGAAGACTGGACGAACCCACACCCTGTCAGGCTGTGAGCCGCCCTTCCCGGAGTAGGGCCGCCCGCAGGGAGGCCCGGGGTGCCCGCAGGGCTCAGGGCCTCGCTTCGGCACACCCGGACATCTCCATGGTGCCAGCCACCTCCTCGACGGAGGAGCCGAGAGATAGAAGTTACTGCTCGGCCATCCTGACCCTAAGATTGTCGTAGGATGGGGCCTTTGCTTTTAATCCCAGTTTTGTAAACAAAGACTCGGGCGCTTGGGATCGGGGTCAGACTCGGAAAGGGTCTGGTTGCTTTGCTCTTGGTCCCCTGTTTGGCTCTCCTCAGTTCCCAGCACGGCTGGGCCGCCTTCTCGTCATCCGGTCGCTTGTGACGACCATCCCGATGCCTCACTGATGAGGTTAGAAATCAGGGCGGCAGGTGGTGGGGGCTGGGAGCACGCCTCCGGGTTGTTACGGAGCAAACGGAGCCCTTGCTAATGATGAGGCTTATTTTATTGTGACGAGTAACGGGCTTTTCTTCTCTCCGTGATTTGACGAGGTTCCCTGCTCTGGCGTGTGCTGTCTGAAAGCTGTTGGTAGATGCCCGTGTTTGCCTCTTAGTGAGTGCCCTGAGGTCGTGATTATTTGGGTTTCCATAGAGATACTGAGCGGTCCCCAGAGATTCGCAAAACCCTTGCTAAATTTTTGGTGTGTAGGCATTCAGGGAATAGATGTGCCCTGCTTTCGGGATTCTCCGTCACAGGCTCGTTTGCATGGTCCCTGTGCGACAGTGTCGGTATGGGAAGGGTTCCTGGCGGATGCTTCTGGAACTCGCTCTGTAGACCAGGCTGGCCCTGAACTCAGAGCTCCACCTGCCTCTGCCTGCCGAGTGCTGGGATTATAAGTGTCCCAGCTGCAGCTTTTACAGAAGGAATCTTGTAGCTTCGGGAAGCTTATTACGAGGCCATGCTGCCTTCCCGGACCGCGGGTACGCAGGCCAGTGCTCCACCACTAAACTCCCTTCCCACAGCCTTTGTACTCTTGTTTTGCGACAGGTTTCTCTCAGCGCACTGGCCTTGCGCTTCCTCTGTAGCTCAGGCTGGCTCGGATGTAGGGCTGTTCAGTGTCATAGGCCTGTGCTGCCAAGCCCAGCCACTTTTTATTTGTATTCATGTTTCGGGACCGGGTCTTACTGTGTTGCCGGGGTTGGCCTCGCTCCTGGGCTTCAGCCGTTCCCCTGTCCCGGTTTCCTGAGGAGCTCAGCCCACGGGGAGCACCCTCACACCTGGCTGATATTTGTATGCCTTTATTGACAGTAATTGATAGCCCACCCACACACCCAGTTTTTACCTTGGCTTGTAACTTTGTTTCTGCTCTGCTAACCCACACATTCTCCACAGCCACAGTCTGTGTGATTTTGGGCGCAGGGGAATGGACGGGTGCGCAAAGCTGACCCACTTTGCTTCTCTGGGTCCTTTTTCTCTCCCACACAATGTAGCCAGTTCATCATCACGCTCACCTAACTCATCCCTCGGGGCCACTGACCTACTTCTGTCTGGCCTGCCTGCGGCCCTCGCGGCAGGCTCCGGCCTGGCGCTGCAGTCTGGAGAGGGACCTTGGCATTGCCTCAGGCACCCCTGGCTTTCCTCCCACAGGCGGAGTCACTGTCACGTTTTGAATTCCACCCCTCACTGGTGGAGGTCATCTATCCGCTTAAGAAAGGACAGTGAGAAGTTGAATTTCTGAGGAAAAAAAAAAAACAACTGGTAATTTTTGAGTTCATGATGGCTTATTGTAGCTAAGACATCTGGAGGCATTGCTCCAGTGCTCCTGAGTCCCGAAGCCTGCCTGTAATGGCCCCAGGGGGCTGTTAGACTTCTTTGTCTGTCTTGACTCTGAGCTGATGGAGGTCACCTGCAACTCTCTTAAATATTTCTATTTTATCTGTTTTTGCTTATGTCTGTGCACCGTGTGCATGCAGTACCTCTGGAGGCCAGGAGAGGGCGATGTATCCCCTGGGATGGAGGTTGTGAGCCTCCCTGTGGGTGCTTGGAATAGAACCCAGGTCCTCTGGAAGAGCAGCCAGTGCTCCTAAACAATGCACCATCTCTCCAGCCCCGAAACCCTCCTTAATTCTGGGGAGTCTTCTTGAATTATTGTATTTCACTCGTTTCTCCTCTTTTGGTGGTGTGAGTTTGTTTTGTGGTGCTGGAAATGGAGCTCTAGACTGTATGAACCAGGAAAGCATTGAGCAGCTGATCCTCTGTTTTTCCTTTTTTAATTTTTTAGAAATTAAAAACTTGTTAAATAAAAATTCTACCGTTTACAGTTCACCTTGTGATGTTTCCGAAAGTGTACAAAGTGTGTAATGCTGGAATCAAGTTTAGCGTGTGCATCATCTCAAACCCTTGGCAGCTCAGTTGATAATAAAGTGCTTGTTTGCATATGTAAAGCCCCGGGTTCAATCCCAGGCACCAGCAGATGTAGCTGCTGGGCTCACAGGAGGGTACGACTACTCCTTCCAAATTCAGGTTCTCGCCGCAGTTACATTGTATCTTTTGGAAAAGGCGTTATTACAGGGTTTTGTTTCTCTTTGTGTATTTAGCAGCCATCTCCTCCCCTTCCTTGTTTTGTTTCTTTTTGTTTCAAAATCTCTACTGCTCTCTGGAAGCCTTTTTTTTCCCCCCCAAATGAATGGGGTCTGATGGCTTCTCTTTCTTATTTGAGAAATGGCTGTGAAAAGTTCTTTGTAGGTTCCACGTGCCCTGTTGGAGGCTTGGGCTGTGGGAATTCTGGACCTTTCTAGCCGTCCTGCTTTGAACAGTGGTGAAGACCGCCTCCAGATTTATTTTTGTGATACTGGGGATTCAGCACAGGGCTTCTCCGTGCCAGGCAAGTGTGTCACCGCCGGCCTACAGAATGCCAGGCTGCCAGCCTGTTTTCCACAGCCACCGTTTTCAACTGCATGTTACTTCCCCCTCCTCGCTCTTTCCACCTCTCGCCTCTTAGCATTTTTTGGTGGGAGGCAGAACATTTCAGAAGATCCTCTCTCTTCAAGGTGTTCTCAAAATCAGTGGTGTGCCTTTCTGTATGCATTCTTCCACTTTGTTGGACTTTTTGATATGGAAGCTTTCTTGCAGTTCAGGATTTCCTAATACCATTTACAATCATTTCCTCTGTTTGGAGTTTCACTATCCTTTTCTTCTCTCTCTTCCTCCTATTGAATCCCTCCCCTCCCTCTTTTTCTCTTCTTTGAGACAGGGTTTCACATTATAGCCCAGTCCGATTTCATACTGATTTTCCTGCCTCAGACTTCTGAGCACTAGGATTATAGATCTGTCCCATCATGCCCAGATCTCCTTCCTTCCTTCCTTCCTTCCTTTTTCTTTCATTGGCTGATAAGCCTCTTAAATCAAACTTTTAACATTTTAAAATTAAGGATTTTATTTTAGTGTTGGGCATGGTGGTCCAAGCCTTTAATTCTAGCACTCAGGTGGCAAGGTAGGTGGACCTCTGTGAGTTCCATGGCAACCTGGTCTACAGGGTGAGTTCCAGGACAGCTAGTGCTGCATATGAGACCCGTCTGTAGAAAAAAAATATTTATGTTTTGTATATGAGTGTTTTGCCTGCATGGATATGGTCCCTAGAGAGGCCAGTAGAGGGGAACAGATCTCCTGGGGCTGGAGTTACAGCTGTGAGCCACCATCTGGCTGCTGGGAATGGAACCTGGGTCTTCTGGAAGAGTAGCCAGTGCTCTTTTTTTTTTTTTAAACATTTATTTATTCATTTGTTTATTTATTTTTATGTGCATTGGTATTTTGCCTGCGAGCATGTCTGTGTGAAGATGTCAGATCACCAAGTTACAGATGCTATGAGGGTGCTGGGACTTGAACCCAGGTCCTCTAGAAAGAGGACTCAGTGCTCTTAACTGCTGAGCCATCTCTCCAGCCCCAGCCAGTGCTCTTAATTGCCAAGCCATCCGTGCAGTGTCTCATATCGGTCTTGAACTCTCCACCTTCTGCTTTAACCCGGTTATCTGGTCACAGGTGTGAAATACTGTACCGATCTCTTTTTTGTTAAAATATGTACTATGGGCTGGTGGCATGGCTCAGTGGGTAAAGGCGATTGCTGCAAGCCCGACAGCCTGAGTTTGCTTCCCTGGGACCCGCATGGTGGAAGAAGAGAACCAACTTCTGCAAGCTGTGCTCTAACCTCTATACACACACACACACACACACACACTCTTCACTCACACACAAATGTCACAGGAGAGGAGGCATAACCAGGTGTCTGCTCCAGACCTATCTGCTTATATTTAAGGATGAGGCCTGAACGTGCTTTCAGGGACCCAGATGTGGGGTCTTGGGGTTGTTCATTGGCTGCATAAGAGAAAGACACAGGTGTTTCTCTGGGACATTTAAATATTACCCTCTGGGAGTCTCCTGTGTGCCCTTCCCAGATGGTGTCTCCAATCTTGCCCCAGGGGAACCTGCCAGTCTGTCACATGTGTGTAGCCCAGGAGGAAGGCTACAGAGGTGGGCTGTCTGTGCTGAGGCCTGCTGTCCTGGTCCGAGGCTGCCACCCTGGCTC